CTTCTCTCAGGTAACCCTAGGACTGTTGGCCTCTCCCGGGAGGATCACCATGGTGGCACATTGATGAAGGAAGTTTTCTGGAAGTATAATTGCCTCTTTACTCTGAGAAAGCATGAAATATCCAATCCCAGATATAGCAGGAATTCTCCCACAATTGAGAGAGAAAACAGAAAATGTTACAAGGTAGCCCTCAGGATGTTGCAATGGACAATTTCTTCCCTAAAAATCATGTCTCATCATTAGGAGAGTAGCATATTTTGAACTGAGAGAAAGCAAGACCAACATAGTAAACAAGACCATGACGATTTGAACCCAAATTTCAAAAATTCTTTTCTTTCCCTGATGCTGCCCTGAAATGTGCTTCCCTCTTTTACATAGCATATATATCCCTTAGAGAACACATGGACAGTTTTGATTTTATTTTTGCCACACTGTGACCCTGCCAGTTCTCATTACAAATAGCATCGCTGGTAGTAGAGGGCAGCAATATGCATGTGTCCACTTGGATATGACAGCTCACGTGACATGTGTGTCACATGCAGTCTCCTTAGATTCATCATGATGCCAGATACTTTCTAAACTATATGAAAATGCCAGAAAAAAACCAAGTGTGTAAGTTCTTGTATGTTCGAGGTGACTAATTATATTAATGTAATTACGACAGAGGAAAAAAATGGGAATAAAAATCTAGTGCAATATACTGAAGGAAATAAAGTCTAGATTATAGCACAATGGAAATATACATGAATAATACAAATTACTCAGTAATAAGACATTATTTTATAGAAATCACTCAGTTATAGAAATCTGATTTTCTAGTTTTGTATCTTTGGGACGGTGGGTGTATTTGGCACTATCCTTCTCCTGCATCATCTGAGAATCTGAACAAAGTTGGGTCTCTCTAGTTTTCAGACAGGAGTATGTACCTGAGAAATTCAGGTGGAGTATTATACAACCATGAAGAAGAGAGATCTGTGTATTCTATCTGTCTCCTGACATATATCTTGATCTCTCAACATGACTCGTTCAACATATCTGTTAGTAGAACAATGTGTCTTTGGATTCTGTGAACCCCATATATCTATCTGGAAGGAGACAAACTGAATTTTGGATTTTCAAGTAGGATTTTGTAGGGAGAAGGAGAGATACCAGGAATCTTTCCTTTTTAACACACCAGTGTGAATTTGTTAACCATAAGAATATATTAATTTAGTACTTAAATAAACATGTAAAATATTTTAGGACATTTGGTAAGCTAGAGAGGGTGAAGCTATACCTTTCATTCCTCTCTCTAGGCCAAGAGGTGTCCACGGCCCTCTTGATGTGGTTACTGTAAAAAGTCCAAGGGGTGCCTCATTAAGAAGGAGGGGGAGAGGTCTATGGGCAGAAGCCTGGATCTTAGTGGCACCCATATGACTCACAAATATCTCCTCCAAAGCGGCTTTCTGCACCTTGCTGAACATTCAAGTGCCAGGTTGGTTTAACCAATCTGCGCACACCTCTCTAGAGCTGAAGAAGTAAGGGGCACTTTCACGCTTATTTCGAGGGAATGTTACAAGTCTGGCTGCTAGTTTATATGGGGGTGGGGTTTAAGGCCTGGGGTTTAAGGCTTAAGAGATAAGCACTGGAGATTACTCCCTTGGCCTTGGGCCAATGGTTCTGCTAAATACTGGGGTCTGAAACACTCCAGGACATTCTGAGCTATAGCTGTCCTGATTAAGTTCCTGAGCCTGAGATAAGATAACACAGTGTACTTTGCCTGTGCCCCCAGCATCTTCACTCAGTTGAAAGGGAACATTCAAGGTTCACTTGAGAGGAGAGAGGAAGGACAGTGACGTGCAGCCCAAAGCAAGGTGAACGGAGAAGAAAGGACTCTCAGGCCTTAGCATTGGTGGGGAAGCTTCAGGGGTAGCAGGAAGCTGGTTAACATGGACATTAGGAGTCTATACATTTTTTAGCTACTGATAGCACTCACCTCTTCCCAGCTGCTTCCCCTTAGGTCACTGATGAACTGCCTCTACCTCCTCCCTCCCTCCAAGTTGGGAAGCATTTCCCAAAGTCACTGCTCAGCTCTGTGATCAGTTCTGGCCAGGGTATTTCTTGTTTTCCAGGAACTCAGAGTCCCCTCAGAGGGGAGAGCTGTGGTTGCCTCCTGTTTCCCTTCCAGATTCCCTCTGTCACAGGGTTATAAGGAAGAGGACTAGGGCAGCTCCATGGAAGGTCATGTACAACAGAGTCAGAGAAGCTGAGACTGTGGTACTGTGCCACCAATGCATTGCTCTCTTGGATCTCGGGCTTCTAGGGTGCCTGTCCTTGTGTATGGTCCTTGTTCAAGGGCCACGTAGGTAGCTCATTTCAATCACCAGGTCTGGTGCCTGCCACAGAACGTTTGCTACTGGGACTAGAACCCTGAGCATCTCTTCCTATGTTGGGGTCTGCACATGGAAAGTGGAGCTGGACATCACTAGGGCCCAGCAGGGCCACCATCCATCCGGTGCTGTGAAGGGACAGAATGGCCAGAAACCTGCCTCTGACATTTCCTGTCCCTTCAGTCAATCCACTGAACACTTACGGGGTGCCCAGTAAATACTCTGAGACGCTGAAGATGAACAGATGACTGAGAGAAGCTCTCTGCTTGGCCCCCAGGGGCTTCTCATCTAGTGTGGGACTCATGTCACAGGAGAGTCCAAGGTTCATAGTCCATCCTACATGCTCTCGGTGGAGTGATCTCTTCCCACTTGGACCTTGGCCTGTTTCCTCTCCTCTCAGCCTCTCACGTCCATGGATGCCCACTTGATTCTATTGTAAAAATACTAATTAGGGTGTTTGAAAAATTATTTTGCCATTTTTACTATGTCAGTCATCATTTCACTATTTCAGGATCAGAAATAGATAATTTTGGACAATTTGAAGAGTATTTTGAACACTTTGTGCAGCCACCACTTCCATTTTTTTATCTCAACATCTCAACATCTGTACCCTGAGATTTTTTCACCCACCAAACATTTCTGGATCTTCTACTCTGGCCCAGACACTTTTCCAGGCATGCAGGATAGAGCCGCTACCAAAGCAAAGTCTTTGTTCACAGAGACTTACATTCTAAAGTGGAATTACATTCACCATTTTGACTGATGAACAAAGTGCTATAGGATATGAGGGCTGCTAGTATGACAAATGCTATGTAGGAAAATGAAGAAGAATAAGGGGTTAGAGATTACTGATAGACAGTAGACCACCTCTGATAAACGAGGTGGTCAGGAAAGTCTTTTCTGAAAACAGTGGGAGAAGGAGTCGGGGCAGCTAACTGGGGAGAGAGCCTCATAAGGCAGAAAAGATAGAAAATGCAAAGATACTGAGGCCAGATGTGTGGTGAGAATAAGCAAGAAGGATAATGTAATCATGGGAATAGGCACAGGAGATGAGGCATGACCAAGACTTTGTTTTTTATTTCAAGTGAGAGGGAAAAACTGTTGGGAAGATTTTGAGCAGGGGAGTAAAAAGTTCTCACTTTTGTTCTAAAGGATTCCTGTGCCTACTCTGTGGGCACCGAGAAATACGAGCCACTGCCCCAAGACACTGCCAACCCCTTCCTTCCCTGGCCATATCCACGTGGGATCCGTTCCAAGATCCCCAGCAGAAGTTTGAAACTGAGGATAGTACTGAATCCTATATAGACTATATTTTTTCCTATACATATATACCTATGATAAAGTGTAGATAAATTAGGCACAGTAAGACATTAACAACTAATATAATAAAATAGGATGTTTATAACACTGTGCAAGTTTCAAAATATCTCCTAAAATATCTTATGGTACTGCACTCACCCTTCTTGTGATGATGTGACATGATAAAAACGCTTAGCGATGAGACGAGACGCAGTGAGGCGAATGACATAGGCATTGTGACGCAGCATCAGGCTCCCGTTGACCTTCCGAGGGCAGGTCAGAAGAAGGGTCAGCTGATTCCAAACCAAACCACTACTGGCACGGGTAACTGAAGAGCAGTGCAGGAAAGCAAAACTCCTGTGCATACTGTAGGAAGAGAAGAGTGAAAGCTAAGCGGTTTGCCGCAGTCTGGGTGAGGAAGAAAGGCTGGGGCAGGGTGGTGGTAGAAGTGACAAATGATTGATCTAGGGATGTATTTTAAAAGCAGAGCCAACATAATGTCAGCTCTAAGGTCCTGGACCCAACTTAGCTGCCAGCAACTATTTGAAAAATAAATTTCAAAATAGAAAACCAAAACCATTTAAAAACACAAATCTTCATTGTTAAGCAACGAATAATGTATGAATGCTGGCCAAGGGACACTAATACTAGGACATGAACTAGAGGGCTAAAGATAGGCAAGAGACTTCAAATGGTTCTCCAATGTTGATTTTGCAGAACTTTTTATACTTCACTGTTTAGAAAAATAATTTTTTAAAAAGGAGGTAGGCACACAGTATTATTTCCCAACTAAAGAAAAAACCCCCGTTGAAATAGTTTTGTAAGAGGAGCCCTAAGGCTCTTTCATAACTCTGAAAGGTTGTGACTCCCGCGGCGCAGCCAGCAGAGCTACTAGTTCTCTGGGTGAGTGAAATTTAAATAAGCAAGGAAAAGTGTTAAAAAAAATCACGCAAGTGGAATCTAGTAGCCACCAACCCACCAAAGAACACTGAATTGTGCGAGTCGGCTGAGTCGAAGGGTGATCCTTTAAACTTGAGCAGGCTGGCCCTGAGACAGGGGCTTTAGCACTCACTCGTTCCTGGCTAAGCCGGGCCCACATCCGGGGTCCACCGGGGTGCCCTGCCTTCACACGCTCGGGTCTCGAGTACGACCTGCCCGCCATGCCGAGACCCTACCAGCCCCTTTCCCCCCCGCCCGGACCAAGTCTCCGCGCCCCGGGCCCCCCCGCCGGCCACGCCCCCACGCGGCGCCGGTCTCGTCCCTGGCCACGCCCCCCGACCCGGGCCGCGCCGGCGCGCCGGCCGCCCAAGTGGCTGTGTGGGCGGAGCTTGCGCAGCCGCCGGACCCCTACGCGCACCGCCCTCCGCAACTGGCCACCGTGAGCCTCCGCGGACACGCACTTCCTGCGAGGCCTCCGTGCGCACCTTAGCTGAACCGAGCCGAACCCAGCACTTCCAAGTCGTTAGCCATGGTGGACGAGCTGGTGCTGCTCCTGCACGCGCTCCTGATGCGGCACCGCGCCCTGAGCATCGAGAACAGCCAGCTCATGGAACAGCTACGGCTGCTGGTGTGCGAGAGGGCCACCCTGCTGCGCCAGGTACGTCCGCCGAGCTGCCCGGTGCCCTTCCCCGAAACGTTTAGCGGCGAGAGCTCCCGGCTCCCTGAGTTTATCGTGCAGACGGCGTCTTACATGCTGGTCAACGAGAACCGATTCTGCAACGACGCCATGAAGGTGGCATTCCTAATCAGCCTGCTTACCGGGGAAGCCGAGGAGTGGGTGGTGCCCTACATTGAGATGGATAGCCCCATCCTAGGTGATTACCGGGCCTTCCTGGATGAGATGAAACAGTGTTTTGGCTGGGATGACGACGAAGAAGATGACGACGACGACGACGAAGAAGAAGATGATTACTAGGCCGGGAGACCCTCGGGCCCAGAAGGGGGAGGGCCCTGCACGCAGCCATCCTCTTCCCCCCCCTCCCCTGCCCGGCCCGGCTGGGAGCCGCCAAGCTCCCTTTCGTCCCCGGATCCCCTTCCCTACCCTTAACCCTCCGGTTCTCTATCATCCCCCCGTAGTGCTTGCCTTTGTTCCAGGAATAGTGCTTCAGTTACCTGCTGCTGGGGCCTCGCTCTGAAGCGCGCCGCCACCCACTCTGGCCAGCCCCAGCACCCTCCCCTGCTAATTTGGACTGTGTCCTGAGCCCCAGCTATAGGGCAGGCCCCTGTTACAAACTGGTCAGACTACGCACAGCTCAGCCCTGCCGACTGCAAGGCCTCCGTCTGCCCAGAAACCTACGCCGCCACTTCACCACCATCCACCACATTCCAGTGACAGACCGCAGCCTTTGAAAATAAGGACCAACCTAGAAGATGCCTGAGTTGGCTGCATCTCCTCCTCGGACATTAATTTGGACAGCTCACCAACCCCCAAGGGGCCAGTCTTTCAACCTGGTTAGTTCCCAACCTACTCCCAGAGTCCTCCCCTTCCCCACCAAATTGCTGCAGGGGCCTAGTGTGCCCAGCAGCCAAATTGTTGACATTTCTTTTCTCCTCTGCACCAGTTTTGCACAGCTGTCCTTTTACTTTCAAAACTGCAGCAGTCCCAACAGATGTGTGCATTTGGACAAACATACTAAAAACAAAACAAAACAAACAAAAATAGGCACTCAGCCCAGCTTCTCAGTACCACCTGGAAAAAGCATTTACGTTCTTTTCAATAAATATCAAGCACTACAAAAAAAAAAAAGAAGAAGAAGAAAGGAGTGTCTTTTAATGGTTAAGTGCTATCATTGGCCTCTACCAATCTCTCTCTGACTCTCATTATTTCCCCCGAGATCAGGGAACCTAGTTCAAATCCCAGTATTCGCCACTGTCATCTCTAGGCGACAGAGGACAGCTATCACAGGGTTTGATAGAGATTCTGGTACTCTCCTCACCAAGGCATTTCTTAAAGCCCTGGCGAGAGGATTGAGTGTCCTCTGGGGCCTCCAGGGTGGCATGGGTAAGGGGTGGTTGAGCAGGTGGCACACCATCCCAAAGTGGGACACTAGACGTGAAAGGGGACCCTATTAATAATTAGACTGGGACAACAAGCATAAGACACATACAATATTACCATTTTCCTGAGCCTTTGGGTTACTTCCTCAACACTGCTAGGGAAATTCTGTCCCTTAATTCTTACCATCTGAGGACTGCTATTGAGTTAAGACTCAAGTTAACAACGTAGCACCTTTCAGGTGCTTGAGCTAACATTAAATCCTGGGTCCTGGATGAGTGTACCCATAGTAAATAGTGATCTTAACATTTCATCACCCCAGGTGAACACTCTTAGAGTCCCCAGCCATACATATGTCCCGGATTCCTGCCTATGGAAATTGGCAAGATGCCTGGCTATCTCCTGAACTAGACCTTGTCCTGTTAAGGGGGCTGTGCTGAGACCTCTTTATAGGCCCGGACGTCTCAGAGGCATTGAGGGAATGGGGTGGGTGCTAAGAAGAACTCTTTCAAATGTTAAATTAGGGAAGTTTGGTTGTGGGGTTTGTGGGAGCTACCTCTGCCAACCAGGAACATTTAGGAGGATTTGAGGGGTTACAGTTCTCATCTATATCTGCCCAAATGTACTCATTATACCATAACTGGAGTCAGCCCTACCTTAAGATATCTAATTTAGGTAATAAACTTCCCTATTACATAAGACCTTTTGAGGCTGGTTATTCTTTTATTTTTAATAGTAAACCTCACAGTGTGGATTAAATGAGATTCTGGTCATCATCCTGGTCACCTCACAGGCATGGATTTGTTGAGATCACGCCCATGAGGTCTTTACAGTTGTCCCTACTACCTGGTGAACATCCAGTAAATATGGGCTGTTACTCCAGACTTGGGATTGGAAGTCTAACTTGGAAAACAGGTGTCTTGCTGTGAGTTTGGCTTTAGTAGGAAAATGTCAGGGGTGAGCGGGAAGGGAACAGGCTCAGGGAGAGGAAGTGAAAGCACGCTGAGACATCGTTTACTCATTGGGATCTGACATAAAGTCAGGTAGAAAGTTTACTTGGTCAACAGGAAAAAGTTTAGGGCAGGAGTGATTTCTCTGGCCTAAGAAAGTTGTTTCTGGAGGGAAACGATGGGTGGATACGGTTTAACAAAGGAGGTTGAAGCCCAAATGGGGTAAATGTGGGAAAGTGGTAGGCAAGAGCTGAAAGCTAGGTAAAGGGTCCAGGAAGAGCAAAAATCAGTCATTCAGAATGATCAGTGGTCCAGGTATACTGAGAGATGGCCCAGGTATAAGAGGGTATAAGAGTGGTGAATGAAAGGTGATTGCCCTCACAGTGATTCCAGTTTGTAGCTTTTATGGTGCCTTGAGCCAGAACTAGGTTGGTATCTAGCTCCTGGTAAGGTCTAGAAAGAGAATCTGGACTGTGATTAGATCGGGGAGTGAACTTTCTGGGGGTGGGGGGAATTTGAAGATGAGTAGACGGGATTTATTCCTTGCCACCAAACCAAGTGAGCACATGCTCTGTGGGGAAGGCAGAGATTTCTGTACAGTGAGGCTGCCGTGCTAAGACAGCATCTAAAGAGCATCAAGGAGTTTCTGAGATCTGAAACGTACAAACCCTGGGTGCACATGCGCAGGTGTGTGTGTGTGCGTGCGTGCGTGTGCATGAGTTTGCTCTGAGTGTGTGGATGTGTATGGCGGGGCAGGGGTGATGTCCTTCCTGTATCATGGAAGAGCAGGCTATGCTGTGAGCTGTAGAGGACAGTGTGGGAATCTGGCTACTTCGGGGGCAGATTCTGCAAAAAAGCACCGTGTTTGGCAAGGACTCTACCACTCAGGATGAAATAAATACATGGTGGTGGCATAAGGCAGAGCAAAAGAGAATGAAGAAGTAAATAAGCATGTCTAAAGATAAAAGCACGACTTGGATGCAAACTGTGAAGGTAGAAATGCTGAAATAGCAAATATGAACTTTAGACTCCTGAATTCTCATATTGGTCATACTGGCCTTGAAATGGTCACTGACATGCTATCAAGAAAATGAAAATAATATTAAAGGTCACAATCAGTTAATCATATTAAATCTACCAATATATTTTGGAGTTCCTTAACCATTTGAATAGGTAAACACTGCTATCCCTTACTTATGTGTTGCTGTGTTTTGCAGGATGGTATATGAAGTTAGAGGTACAATTATGTATGTTGTGTTTGCTTATTTTCTGCTATTACAATGGTGAAAACCTCAGCAGTTTGGAAGTAAGCAGAATAGAGAGAGATGTCTTTTTGAAACTGTGGAACATTTGCGTTTTAACAGGAATTCTAAGAAAATTTCTAGGTTCTTAAAGCAATTAAAGCTAATAAATGGGCATCAATTCAAGGTCCTGAGAATGGGTGATTCTCAAGGTCCCAAGGTCCTTGATGGGTGATTAGGTTGAGGAAATTGTATGGAGCATATTTATTATTTGCATTAAAATATGAATTTTGTTAGAGTTGTGTTTAAAGGATAGTTCAAGTATATTGCTTACAGTCTTATGACCACTTAGGTCTAAAGGTAGAAACAGTGAACTGGTTCGTGTCCTTTGACAGTACTGGTAGCCACTAACTTCCCTTAATGAGAATCTGGTCATGGATTTTCTCCCCCTCCTGTCTGAAATTCCTCTTAAGATTTTTTTTTTTTATCTTTAAACGTTCTGTTGTCCGAAGACACTTTTTTTAATGACATAATTACCCTGGGATGGAAGACTTGCTTGGAGTAATTATGAATATCATAGTCAGATTTGTTCATGGAGCAGAAGCCCTCCTCTGGATGAGGAGGGGGCGGCGCTGGTGAGGTACTGCAAGGGGACTTCGGAATAGCCAGATAGGCAGCATTTGTGTATCTCCCTTTCTCCCCTTGGGCTGGTGTCTGAGGTGTGATCTGTTACAAATTTTTTTCTTATGATACTATTCATAACATTTACATAATTCTTCCCCTCCCTAAATGAGAAATTATTTCATTAGCAAAATTGCAATAATAGATCTTATATTTTAGCCAAAGTCTTTATACAGTTAGTTTAATTGAACAGCCAATTCAGAGTCAACCAGTCAGCTCAAGATAAAAAACTGTCACATGACTGTTTATATGCCTCATTTTATTTATTTTTTTATGTGCCTCATTTCATCTTTAGTTTTAAAACAAATAATACCAGTAAAGGAAAGCAAAGGGAATTATATTTCAATGGTACCCGAAATAATTGTGATATTTTTTATTTGTCTGTTCTGTAGACACGGATAATTGCATTGCCCTACAGGACTTTTAGAAATGTTCATTTGAAGAAAAAAGTGTTCATTGTAATGTATGTTAAAATTTTAACATATATACAAGTAGAATAGTATAATGAGCACCTTAAACCCATCTCCAGATTCAAAACCTACCAACATTTTTGCTACCTCTATCCCTTTTCTTTCTTATAATTTTTATGGAATATTTTATTTTATTTTTGTAGACTGGGGCAGGGAGGGATAGAGGGAGAGCAGAGAGGGAGAGAGAATCCTAAACAGGCTCCATGCCTAGCATGGAGCCATACCTGGGGGCTTGATCTCACGCCTGAGATCATGAATTGAGCTGAAATCAAGAGACAGATGCTTAACTGAGCCACCCAGATGCCTCTGGAATGTTTTAAATCAAATCCCAAATACATCAATTTGAAGGGTAACTTCAGTACTTCAGTATGTTCCTCTAGCAGATAAAGTTTTAAAAACAATCCATAACATCATCATCACATGTACTGAAATTGACAATGGTTCCTTAATATTTAATACTCAATTCATATTCAAATATTTTTTAAATTATAAATAAAAATCTTTTTGATTATTTGCTTGAATTAGTTTTCAGAAAATGTCAACACATTGCATTTGGTTTATATATCTCTTAACCTTCTTTTATTGGTAACAGTTCCCCTCCACTCTTTTTTTTTTCCCTATAATTTATTTGTTGAGAAAACTGGGTCATTTGTCCTATGGAATTTTTATATTCGGGATTTGCTTTATTTTTTCATATCCTTGCCCAATTTCCTCTTGAGTTGATGTTTCTCAATTTTTTTTAGATGCTCCTTATTTTTTAGGGATCTGTGATTTATGTTGTAAATATTTATGTCCAGTTTGTCATTTACCTTTTTACGTTCTTCATATTTTATTCTGTTGTGAAAATGTTTAATATATTTTCATTTTTTCCATTCTCTCCTCTCATTCCTGTGCTTCCCAGTTTATGTGCATTACTTTTTTCTCTTAGTGTTTATACCTTTAAATAGTGTATATACCTCTATTATTTTTCAGATACGAATGATCTGTTTTGACTCTCAACCATGAAAGATGAGGAACTCAACATATGCACTAATTCTATTTCCCTATCAACTTTGTAAGTTACGTCATTTCTATGTTGTTCCTGTTTGTAACACTTACATATTTTTCTGTGACCATCATCCCCTCTTCTTGTAATCTTAGTATATCTAATAAATGAAATAATTATCTTGTTCAATTTTCATAATCTCTTTTGGTTAGCCAAGGGTTTTTTTTCTTTTCCTTTTTTAGTTGTTTCTTTTAAAAAAAAAGAACCTCCTGGAACTATGTGCTCTGAGTTTTTGAAGGTGAATGGTTTTGTTATGGGTAGAGTTGGTGGGACACACTTTCTCTTCATTCATTGCTCTACTAACTTTTAGCTTTGACTTATTTTGTAGAAGTCTGAGGTCATCTTAATATTTTTCACTCATAATCGATTTGATATTTTTCTTGAGTTCCCGGATATTTTTTCTTTACATTTGAATAG